GGCCCGGGCCTCTTTTCCGCCTGGCGGGGGCTGGCTGGGCGCTCTCGGCCCGGCTGAGATGAAGTCGTGCTGCTGCGGCGCTTCTCTCCCTGTCTCTGCAGCCAATTACTCCGTCAGAAGAGGCAATCGCATTAGTTTCTTGCTAGCCCTTGATAATATTATTAGCTGGTTGTTGGCAGCTGCTGTGTCCCGAGTGCCTCTCAAAGGATTTTTAAATTAATTTGTTCTGCTGCCTTTTCTGGTCTTGAACCGAGTTCAGAACCACAGTCTTGCTTACTCCTTTTTTTCTTTGTTTAGAGACCTTAGGGTTTCTTTTCTCCCCAGTCCCCGAGGTCCCTTAGTCCATCAGCAGTTTGTGGGCCTTGTGATTTGGAAATCATTTTGGCTAGTTCCTGAAATTCCTGATGTTCCTTTGCAGTAGTGTGTTCTTACCTGCATGCCTTTCTGTCTCAGGGCAAGCTGTTGCTGAGCTTTCTCCTTCCCTGGCCTGCCTGTGCTAGGTCTCCGCGTGAGCCAGGCATTGGCAGAGGGATGCAGAGCTGCCAGAAACGGGCGTTGGCGTGAAATATGCTGCTGCTGTGGTCCAAGGGCTCAGAACACGATGTGCTGTTGTGAGACATCTCAGAGACCTAAAGCTGGGAGCCGGGAGGCCTGCGCAGACCCAGGGTCTTGCTGTCGTGGGTGTGGGACACTGCAGTCAGCTCCAGCAGGAGATGCCAAATTCTCTGCTCTTCATTTCTGAGCCCAAAATGGATTGCATCCTTCAAGTGATACCTAAGTTAACGGGCTCCCTGTAAGGGTGATTTGGTAGATTTTAATGACCTAAGATATTCAGATTAGGCCTAATGAGCTAATGGTGGCTTTTGGTTTTAACATTATGTTCGCCTTTTAAAATGTAACAGAAAACACAAGAGAAAATGACTGCTGCAAAAATAGAGGCAGTTGAGGGGGTAGGGATGTCTCTGTAAAAGCCCTTTAGTGTACTTACTACACTTAAAATGGACAGCTACTGTAACACAGGAAGTGGTGCTTCCAGGATCTGCTCTGGTTCATGCTATATTTCAAGTGTAATGTCCCTTATTCTGCTGTATTGCAGCAAAATATGTTTCTGCCTTCCCCCAGCTGCAATCAGTACAGTCTTCGTTGAAGATGATCATCAGAGGTTGTTCACTCAAGACTGTAGCTGTTGGGAACTGTAGGCATCCACGGTGCCTAATGTAGTATAGTATTAACCAAAATACTTGATTACCTAAAACTTCTTTGATTTGGAATGCTTCTCTTGACTTTTTACCCTGTCTGCCAATATTTGTGAATGTCTCCACTCACCGTTCAAAGAGAAAACCAAAGATGTTAAAATCCAAAGCTTGTCAATTTGAGTATTAACTACAAAACCCAGCAAAGACTAATGGAGAGCTCTAAATGAGGTCAAAGATTTTTTTATATTTGTTATGAACTCAAAGTTCGAAATCTCTGCTTGTGCTACTTACAAAATAAAATTATAAATTTGTTAAAATATTATTATGTTGAAAAGAAACAGTATTCCCAAGTAATCCCACTCCTGAGGTCAGCAGCTAGGGAGCAGGCTTGGGGAAGAAAAGCCCTGCAATATTGCGTGCATGATTTGTAGCAACTTCTGAAGCAGACCTTAAAGCTAAGGTCTCATTCAGATGTCAGTCTCGGCCACGATGGAATTGCATGAGGAGACAATTTGCCTTCCTACAGCCTCTCGATGTAATTGTAGGTGGGCCTTGAAACAAAAGAGGGAACAGAAGACGACAATGGAATGCTGCAAGTTCATTAAAAATCGCCATGAATCTGATGATAATAAAAAATTTACTGCAAGCAAGTAGAGAAACCGTTCCACGCTTTTCCAGGCTGCTTCTGCCAGGCCTCAGCACTGATTTCCAGCATCTGGTGTGAAGGAACAAGGGAATCGGGGAGGACTGAGGTGCTCAGCTAGGCGAGGATCCCTGCGCAGCCTCTCTTCAACAGCAAGATATTTCTGTGGCGCCGTCCGCTTTTCCCTAGAGCAAGGAGAGAGATAGCAGAGGAAAACTGCAGCAGGATGCGGAGCAGAACGTTTTACAGGATAGCTTCAGTGCCGCATTCCCGGGGTGCCGACTGGCAGACCTCCCCCGCGCACTGCGCGCAGGCAGGCATTCCCAGTACCTGTTGAGCCTCAGTGACAGAATGTGGATATGGAACGTGGCTTCAGAGTGACGGGTGAGGAAGTCAGCCTCCTCCTCTGCACTGAGCTGATTCCGGTTCTCCTGAAACCACTGGTTCTTCTTCTGCAGCTCTTCCACGGCCTGTTGGGGAGCAGGCAACCACAGGTCACAGAGGGGAGAGCAAGGAGCAAAGGTACACAAAGTGCAACTCAAAGCTCAGGGGGCCGAGAGGGAGGAAACCACAAATCGGAGCTGGTTTGTTTACACGGGAGGCAGTAAGTTTGAGATGAGGTCTCACAGAACAAGAAAACAAGGGGAATCAAAATATGTGGAACAGCGAGAGGCAGCAAAACTTGAATGCGTTGCCTTACTATAGTCAAGAAGCACTGGAGAACCAAATCAGCTGATTGAGATAGGGACTAAATTTCACCCTGGAGCTATTTTGTTCTTTGATCTCACATGCTAGTGACCAAAAAAAATACAGACATGTTTATGTCTCTCCAAGTAATGAAAGGAGGTTTGTTTCCAATGAGATGTGTGGTACCCTCCTGCTAGGGCAGAGGAGACTCCAGTAACACACATGTCCTGGAGCGAGGCTGGGAATACCTTTTCAAAGCGAGCCTGGATGATGTTAACTTTATCAACGAGACAATGCTTCAAATCAGTCAGGCAGTCATCTCTGACGCGCAGGGCCTGCCCCTTGGGCATCTTCTCTCTGGGGCCAATTTGAATAAGGAAAGGTGCCAGGTAATCCAGATCCTGTTCCTCTTGTCCCAGGAGGTCATCCTCCACTGTGTTCTTCTGGAGGGGAAAGGACAGAACAAGTCGTGGTCCCATCTACCTGCTTCCCCAACACCCTGGGGTAAGGCAAAATGAAAGCAAAGGCCAAAACTCCGCCCCCCCCACCCCTCCCCGGGAGGAAATAATGTTTCTTTTTCTTGTAATTTGATCAAAACTACTGCTTCGCACTAGCTTTGCATACCAACCCTTCCCCAATGCGGTTTTTATTCTGTACTTCATTGTCTTTTTCCTAATTTCCTTGATTGTAGAGACATCTCTTACACAAAGCGTGTTATGCACTGAGGTGCAAGAAGGGGTCTACAAAATGCATTTGTCTATGGACATAAAGAGATCAGGACAGGGTATTTGGAGCGATTCCAGCCTGCAGGCTGGCAAATAGCTGCTCCTTGGATCTTTGCCCCTATTTGTGTTTAAGAGCTCTTCAGAGATAATTCCTCAGACAGAAAAAGCTTACTCTGGATTTCTTTGTGTACATGTAATAAATACTGGGATTTATGAAGTCCACCTACCATGGCTTCATACTGTTGTCTTTTTTCATTCCTCTCCGTATTATAAATTGAAACTGACAATTTAACAGCGGTTTCTTCATTCTCACGGATCTTCAAAATGTTTAACACCTGCCAAAAAATCAGAAGAAAGACCCTTCAGCTTTCCCACAAAATGGCAGTACTTTTACACACTTGACCTGCTAACAGAGCAGATGCTGCATGCAGGAGCTGTAGCATAAGATTAAATATAGATGATCTATACAAATATGTTCATAGACTGCTAACAGATCAAGCTGATAGTGGTCTTATTTTTAGATTGCTGCTCTGTATGAAACTTTTGAACACAATTACTGATATTATCCATTAAGAAAGCTCTTCTAGAGTCACAGTCTTGCCGCTACTTTTGAAATGGTATGATAGCTTTGGCTTATTTCTTTGTCTTAACAGGATATACAGCACAAGCAATGTGAATGTTTTGTCTCTTAATACATCCAGACTCAGAGGTTTGGCAAGGTAGTTCATGAGGTGACAGTGAACTAGCCTCAGATTTCTGAACAAAAAAAAAGGACTTTTGCAATCTTGTTCTTAACTATTCCTAGTATTCTATGCTAATGTAGTTGAGCATTCCCTCTCCAGCTCCTTCAGGGGTTCCTCTTCCTCACAAAAACACTAAAAAAAAAAATAAAATCCAATATCTTTTCCTCCATCTGCTAGAATGGTTGTATTTATCATGAAGCAATTGCAAAGACTGCTAAGAACATGGATTTGTCACGCTGGTCACAGTGTGATTACCAGCACAAGCAATGTATTTTACGAAGTATTTCTCTGCCGTTGTTCCCACAAAAAGTCACTTCAATATTTTGGATAGGACTTTCTGGAAATGCCTAGGAGCTAGATGCAACGTTACACACAATATCCTTTCTTCCTGGTCTCATTCCCAGGCAAAAGACAGGTATGTTTCTAGATGCCCAATTAATATGCTGTCATTTGCTCTCTGAAACTGTCTTCCTCCCGGAGAATGAAGAGCAGGAGCTGGAAAGTGCGTGACTCTCCGTAAATATATTAAAGCCACATCTTTGTGGCTGGGTTGCAAGCTTGATAATTCAGCACAGAGATCAGATTTGTGACACCAGAGTTTTGTTTTCATCACAGTTCATGCTGAGGATGCTTTGGCAACCAGTCAGCTGAACCTGTTTCCACACCTGACCAGCTCTGACAACAGTGTGGACATCTCCTTGTTACCTCAGCTTCAGACTGCCTGACTTGTTGCTTCACCCGCTTCTCTTCCTCCATCAGCTCCTGCAACAGTTTGTACAGATGGAGCAGCTTCTTGCCTTTCCCAGAGGACCCTGCCTGGAAGCAGATAAGGTAGTCAGAAACAGTAGTGCTCCAAGGGTGTACTCTGCTAACACAAATTGGCACAATTCTGCGATCGTCAATACAGCGACACCGATTTCCACCACTGAAACGTCTAACTCATGGCCAACAGTGTCTTGGACTTCATTTTGATTCTGAATCCATCAGCAACATAGGCCAGATGGCACGCCTGGCACTGTGCTGACACTGCCGTTACTTGGTTGGAACCAGTTTTGCAGGGCTAGAGATGAAATGATGGCACTCCAGCAATTGCCTCCTGTTTATTCTCCCAAATGGAAAATAGAAACTTAAAAGAAACTTGCATAATATTAAAAAAATCCTGTGTTTGCACTCTTTGATTTTCCTAAGCGTAACTGTGCAGCATCACTGCAGAGTTTACTGACAGACTTCTGCTCCCGATTAGAGACTCACATCAGTGATGTCAGTGGAGCAACACACCCCCCACCCCAAATGAGATAATTCGGCTTAACGACAGCATTCCACATTTGGGGGATTATCTTTTATTTAAGGCTATCTATCAGCACACATTAAGCCTCAGCATCTTGCTCTGCATCTGCAGGGTAAACCCTGGGAGACTTAAGCAATGATGTGACCCAAGAAGTCCATGGCAGAACAGGAACTAGAACCCATGCTGTCCGCTTCTGCTTCTCTGCTGCAGTCTCTGCTTCAAGAGAGAACAGCAGAGGAAATTTCAGCTTCCCTGCCATGAATCCACAGGACTGAGCCCAACAGCTGCTGAATCAGCATCCTGCAAGATCCCCATGGCTGTGTCTACTCTACCTGATGACCGAGTCTGGAAAGATGACCTCAGGCATGGCTAGAGCAAGCCTTCCACGCTACGCTACGTCCTGCGTGCCCAGTCACTTCGGCACGGCAGTGCATCTCCAGGGGTGTCTGCGCTGTCAGCCTTGGAGGCTGTCTGAGGCGGGGGGTGCAGACGGAGCAGAGGGGCAGCATGGAATATGCCATGTTTGTAGTTCTTCCACTGACATTTCACCTCCCTTTCTGTCTTGTGATCTAGAAAAACTTCAAGATACAAGCAGTTTTTCTCCATACCTGGTACGTGATGCACATTTCTGGGGTCATGATCATCTTATTTCCTTTCCTATTCATCTCTGCCACTTTGAACAAATCCTTCGAGGCAGTGATGTATTTATCCTTGAGGTGATATGTCAGATGGATCATCTCCTCTGTGATCAGAAAGATACGTTCTGCTACATCTTCATCAGCAGGCTTTTCTAAGTTTCTGTGGAAACACTCCTTGATTTGCTAATGGGGGGTGAAAAGAAAGAGAGGGAAGCAGCTTAGACAACACAGAAAACTAGCGACATTTGCAGAGAGTTGGGTAAAAAGCCAAGGTGAAAATTGGGCTTTTCTGTCTGGACTACAATGGCATCTCTTGGCCCGTGGTCCTACTGTTCTTTCCTGTATCTGATAAAAAAAAAAAAAAGCACAAAGCTGCTTTAAGCAATATGGAAGTCCTCTCTTGGTGGAGCCGAGTATGCTCTCCAAGCTCAAAGGTAGCTTGGGATGCATCCCTGCCTGAGGGAACTGCAGCAGGCAAGGTATTTTGGAGCACAACCAGGTTTCCCACATTCTCCAACAAAGGGAAGGAAAAAGGAGCATGTTGGGCACTGGTCCAGAGGCAGGCCTCTTCACGGCTCTGTCTGGGCAGGTGAAGTGTCTGAGCCGTACTGCCAGATGTTGGATTTCCTCCCTCTTCTGTTCTGCAAATCAGACCCAACTAGAGGAAGAGGTAGATTACCTGCTTGTAACAAATCACTGATGGGGCATTTCATCAGGAACCTAAAATGCTGTTAGTTTGGAGTCAGAACATGAAATCATTTGACTAGTTTTAAGTCTTGTGACAATTACATTCAAAAAAGTCATAGTCAAGCTTTTTCTCTTCTCTCTGACACACATTTTCCAGGTCTTAGTTTCCTAGTTTCATTCTAGCTGCTCAGTGCAGTTTGTGACAACCGGTCAAGACACAGCTCTTTGTCAGGCAAGCAGCTGGGAGACGCAGCAGCTGAACAAGGCTTGGGCGTCCCTCTGGAGTTCTGCCTTGGCTCTGCCCACTGAAAGTGAACCTCAAGCCCTACGCAGTACGTTTTGCATCGTATAAATATCACAGTGACAGATACTTTTCTGGCCATACCACTATAGGCCGGGAGTTAACGTCAGTTCTGGTGCCAGCCAAGTGTACTTTCTTTCCTCTTTTGCCAAACTCCACGTGCCGGAGGTGCAGGAAGTCATCCTGCCCCACGAAGTACTCTGTCATCTCGGTAGCATTTTCAACGCGTTTCTGGAGGCCATCGACTCGTGCCTCATTGTAAAACTCCATTGTACGTTTAGTCTCTGGTTCCAGCGACCTATAGGTGTGAGCTAAGGACATAAGAGAGATTGCGTACATTTTTAGAGTTAGCAACCATAATACAGTGAGCACAAGTGTGTCCAGAGGAAGTCCCATTTTCTCCAGCAGCCAATAAATCAGATGCACGTAAGGGCATAAGAAGGGAACGTTATCTCCACATTGCTGTGCAGCAATACGCCATATCCTGAGGATGGTAGGACAGCTCTGCAGGGCTGCTGCCTTCCTCGCACAGTAAGGCAGTAGCGAGTGGAACCTGGAATCTGCTCTTCCCAAATCAGGAATGGGTGCAGCCTCTTGGAGAGAAACGCTGCTTTAGCAACAGATCTGATGCAGGACTTTCTCTCCCCCAGCTGCACAACACAGAGACCAAACATAAACCTAAGGAGAAAGTTTCTACTTCTATCACCTCTACTGGTAAAAATAAATGATATCGCCCTATATATATTAGGTATGTATTTTCCTTCTGTTATGCTGAGGGGGGACCACTGTCCAGGACTGCAAGCCAACAACCCAATTCTCTACTCTCCACTGGAGCCCGTATTACTTATCCAGGCAATTCGTCCCAGAAGCTTGCAGCACCCCCAGCTTTGGGCTTTTGTCACTGCTGGAAGGGATTCACGTGAAATCCCATCAGCTGCAGTGGCTGCCCAGATGAGCTGGAATACCTTTGAGACTGAGGAGGTGTCCTGGCCTGAAGTAGTCAGTGGTCAGCTGTGTTTGTTTATTCACTTCTCTCATATCCAACATGTCTTCTCGGTTTTTGAACCACTCCCTCACCTCCACTGCTTCAGTACCTGGCAGGAGACAAACCATGTCACAGCCTTACATCACCCTGATGGAGGTGGTAAGAGTCATCTGCTGAGCTCTCGGTGTCTGTGCAAGCACCCTGTGCTCCCGATACAGCCGCACCAGACATCGCACAGTCACTGGAATCGGCCCTGTGCACAGGGGCGTTTTGTAGATGAATCCTAATCTACGTCCGAGTAGGTGAATTCTACCTCATGAGGGTTTAGTCCTCTCCATCAACAAGAACTGAAGTAGTCGGCTCAGGGGGAGAAGGTGGCACGGTAGATGGCTGCAGTTAGGCAGGAGAAATTCCACCCCAGATATTTAACTCCAGTGTCAGGAGGGAAGGGAAACGAGATCGGGGCATTATGCTACCCAAGAGGACTGAGGACAGGACACTGTATGTCCAGTTAGGAATCTGCACAGTTTCTTGGACCAGCTTTTAAAGAATAACACTCTGGAGTACAGAAATATCCCCAGTTCGTAGCTGCCCCTTTCTGTTGCTCCTGTTGACACCAGTGGGAACAGTGATACTACGGGATCAAGTCAAACCAGCCTTCCACTTCTCTGGAGACTAGAAAGCCAAGCAGCAGGCCTCGCAACACTCAGTCTCAGCACTGGGGTGTAAGAGAGGTTCAAACTCTTGCGGGAACCCCTAGCAGTGCTGGGAAGCTCTAGGGCTTGACAGACAGCGAGCGTCATGAAGCATTTGAAGATGTGGTAGGCAAGTGCCTCACGCATGAGAGGAGGACGAGCAAGCACAAGAGAGACTCTGGCAGAAGGGGCACCACCTCCCCCTTCCCACCAGCACAGCCCAGGCTGTGTTTGCGCAGTGCGGCGAGCACATTCACGCATCCCTCTTACAGTCTAAGTCTGCGTAGACGGTGAGACGCTTCACCAGCCCGTTTTCATTCAGGTACGGCGCCCACTTCTCCAGTTTTGCTTTCTTGTACAGGATAACCTTCTTCCCCTGGGAATAGCGGGTCTCAAACTCTGCAGTGGAGAAGAGAGGTGTCAGAAAAACTGACCCCCTTGTACTCAGCCCAGGGAAAAAGAATTCAAGAGGGGAAAGCCATGGTCTAAGGGAAACCATGCATTTATTGATCATATTCAGCTGCCAGTAAAACTGTTCAGACCCTGCCTGTTGTGCTTTAATGTTACAACAGCAGAAGAACTCTTTTCTCTCCCAAAGCAGACACTTGATAATGCAGGGGCACTACCTTGTGCATAGCAGCAACAGAAAGTCCGTCCCAGACAAAATCATTCACCAGGAAAACAGAGTGTGAACACAGACTGAGTGTCTCTGTGTGTGTCCGTCTGTCTGTCTGGGGAGGGTGTCCCAGCCAGGATGAGGCAGCGCACTGAGGGCAGGCATTCACACCAGTAGCTGTTGCTGCCTTCATCTACTGCGCTTCACTGCCATACCTTATCCATTGTGAAGGGAGGACTCTTGATTGAGCTAAACAAATGTCTCAAATCCACTGAAAGGTTAGCTGGGGGGCAAGCAAAAGGCAAAGGCAAAATACATACCTCTGGGAGATACCTGGAATGGGGCTACCCACGATGGCGGCATGTCAAAACTCATGTCTTCCTCCTCCTTTTCCTGCTGTCTCTCACTGTGCCAGGAGGCGTTTTGGCTCTAGAGAATGCAGTACAGGGATCAGAGCCCTGCTCACGCGAGGCTGCGCTGGTCCTGGGGAACGTGGCAGCAGAGATTCAAGAGCTGTGTCGGTCACGCGCAGCCCGAGGACGGGGCAAGCAGCAGACTGCAGTTTACGTGGAAGGAGAACTTTACTGCATCCCCACGCTCTCACTAGCACACCCCTACTCAAGCCTAATGAAGTTATCTCCTTCTGGCTGCACTCATGCTGGATAGGGGAGGAACGTGACAATCGTCATTCAAATTCATGACCAGCTTGTTTTATGTGGACTGTGGCGGGCGCTTTGCTCCCTGGTTCTGGGCACAGGCTGAAGAGAGTAGATAACAGGAGGGAACGCACTGTTACTGCTGTTCCTCTGCTCTGCTGTGCTGGTGCAGTGACTGCTTTATCATGCTGTGTTCTCCTAGCAGGAAAACACACCATTTTGCACTTCCAGTACACAGCATTTTTTGGTATATTAGAGCACAGACATTCTTTCTACATCTGGTTGGCAACTCCAGCTAGCAGCCAAGAGAGCAGGGTGCTGACCAGCAGAGAAAGCGTGTCCAGAAAAATTTCAGTCTGGGTTTTATTTTTTAAAATTATTTCATCCCAAAGGTCAACGCACTAGAGGCCTGCAGAGATCCCCAGCCACTCGGGAGACCAGAAGTACCACCTGGGGTCCTGCTTCAAAAAGCATCAGAACTGTTCAAGACTGAGAAGGAATCTGAAGTGCCAGTCGAAACCTAGCTAGAGCAATAGCGATCTGACCTGGAGAGGGCAGCAGGCAGGCAGATGTACGAGGGCCTGCGAACATACCAGTTGCCTACAGCATCCCCACTGCACGAGAGCCATCATTTGGGTCACTCACCGTATCATTCGTCTCCTTGTCAGACAACTCCTTTTCCTCCTCAGCATCTGGGAGCGGCTGAACAGGCTGGTTGCTCTCCAAAAGCATAATCTCCCAGCGGACAGTGTCACCCAAGTCAAAGGTGAGATCCTAGGCCGTACAGAAGAAACCCACTTAATTACGGGGCAGTCCCACGGGCCTGGTACTAGACTGAACGCTGCTCCTGCACATCTGCGATGCTCAGAATTAAAGGATTCCAGACAGACCACCCTGGGTCTCAGTGAGGTGGGCTCGTCAGACCCTTGGCTGGCTGGTGGGCCCCCAAAAGCACCCTGTGCTAGAGGGTTGCAGACCTCTTTCCTCATGGTGCCTCTACCACAGAGGAGAGGAAGCTGCTGGAAACGCTTCTGCCTCCTTCCTTGGGGCACGCATAGCCCCAGGGTCATTCACAGGGGCCTGAAGTTGCTCTAGCTCAGACCCTCGCCTCCCAGGCTTTGTATGAGCAGGGGAGTAGCTGGGGTGTGGGAAGAGCCAAATCAAGATCTCTCTTGCCTTGAGCCATGCCTGACAGTCTCAAAACATCCTCTGCCTTACAAGCCGCTGTTTGAGAGAAGGAGTGTCCAGCCAGCCTTAGAAGCTGATATTGCAGCACCACAGGGGTTTAATGGGTGCGATCTGTATTTATTAGCTCAGGGTCTGGGGCGTCCTGCAGTAGTTCCAGAGTCGATGCAATCAGAGCAGCATGACCAGAGCCATCACAGGGAATGGTTAAGTGGAAACTGGGACCACCACTGATCTTGGACTTCCCCAGGACTCAGGTTAGCCCAGCTGTCCCTCCCAGGCACAGGGTGTTTAAGGGCTCATTACCTTGCAGCCGTTCCTGCAGTCCTGCATGTTCACCCAGTAGTTCCTGTGATTCCAGACACTCTCGATCCCAAGGAAGTGCTCATCCGTGGTGCTGTGGCTGTTTCCCGTGAAGGGGTTAATGAAGAAGGTCTCAGGAACCTCTCTCTTCCCAGACAGGACCAAAACCCACGCATGCACCCGTAAGCCATACAAAGGGTCACGCTCGGGCTTTTCCACTCCCTGTAGCGCAGAGGACAGAGCAGTAATTATTGACACTTTATTGCCAATTTAATCCATCCCAATGGCAATCTTATTCTCTTCTCTGCCCACTGCTAAATATCTCCAGGCCCTTAACACTCTTCAAGTGCTGGTGGCCACGATCAGGGTTATGTCACACTTGGTGGCAGAGGGTGGTGACCTCCTCTCTTTGGTCAGCCACTACCTGTGTCTCAGCTCTTTCTCCTGGAGTTTATAGTGAGGTGGACCTCACTAACTTACCGTGACTTTCTCCTCTCCTCTTTCCTTGTTCTTACGAGCAGCTTCACCTTCTGCTGTCTTCTTGGCGGACGACTTCTTCCTCTCCTCTTTTGGTACCTGCCTCCACAAAAGCAGGGTATTGCTGTGAAACCCAGCAGAGATCAAGAGAAGGAAGAAAAAACACAGCTTACAGGTACCTCCCAGTCCCCAGCCCTTGGCAGTTTACAGTGTTGGACCTGGTGAACAGAATTCAGTGAAGCCAAAGAGGCCTCTTAGGGAACTGTGGAAAATCACTCAAAAGATCCCTTTGGTGAGGTCCCTGCTTGGTAGACTGAGACCCAGCGTGGACCTCAAGCTATTCCCCCTAATTCAGCTCTGGGGCTCACTGGAAATGACCAGCCTGAGCATGCACACTGGGCTCCACCCTGCCTGCTCACTGCAGGTCTCACCTCCGGTGGCTTCTCGAGCAGCGGGCACAGCTCCAGAGTCTCGTCCAGGGTGCATACCTCGCGGGTGGCATACCCGTGCACACAGTAAGCGTCGTACCCGGCCCCGATCAGCATGGAGCACAGCAGCACACTGAAGTCAAAGCAGTTCCCCTGCTGGTATTTCAGTATGGTGGTTGGGGAATAGAGCGAACTGGGCTTGAAAGAGAGAGATGCACGTTCTCAGTGCTTGTCTTGTGAAGCTGAAACATGCACCAGGCAAAGCAGGGGGGAGAGAGAGAGAGAGCATTGCGCATATCCCCGGGCTCTGCAGCCATAGGCAATCGGTTATATAAAATGCCTATGTAAGCCACAGAGCCTGGAATTCCCCTCCAAAGTGATATGGGGAAATTCTGACCCCAAATCTGGTGACAAATTTAACAACAAGGAGAGATGGGCAGGACAAACTCATCAAACTGCTGAAAACCTAATGCTAACCGCAACTCTGGAGTGGGGCTTTCCTCCATCTCTAGCTGGTCTGTGTGCAGTGTTTCAAAGCAAAAGACCCCTAAGCTAAATTATAGTTCAAAGGAGGGAACATGCAGTGTTCTGGCCCTCACTGGTGAACAAGCAAAGGGATCAGTATGCATATACTGCATATAGAGAGGTTCTACACAGTCTGCTCCCACATCCCGTTTAGAAATCTCCCTTCAGTCACCCCAAAATGTCCCCAAAATTGGGATAGAAATGTCTAAAGGCCCTAAAAACTGATCACTGAGGCCAAGCATCAGCCCCTGGGCTTCGTATGCTCCTTTGTTCCGAGGCCTCTTGGTCTTTGGAGGGGAAGCTTGTCTGCCACTGCAACCCACAGCAGACCAGCTGGTCATCGGGGGTGACCAAGAGCAGGGTCAGGCCCAGTCCTGCAGAAATAGTGTTTCGTTGCTTGACAGATACAACACTGTGCATGTACTGGGATTACGGGTCCAAACAGAGTGCACAGGGCCTGGGAAAGTCGGGGGATTGCCTAAGGAACGAGGGGATGATGGAGAGGTCAAAGACCTTTGTAATCCCAGCCACTGGGGTTTCCACGTTGTGTTCTGTCACCTCCATTACAGGGCTGTTTCTGACGGGACTGCAGCCCCCTTCTTACCGGTGTGATAGGGGACTTGAGGGGCTCCATGGTGAGGTAATCGGAGACAAAGCTGGCACAGCCATCCCAGCGGTACAGCTCCGTGTAAGGCAGCAGGGTTGGCCTCACCGTTGTGCTCACAAACTTCTGTAGGGCAACAAGAGGACTTTGGTTAGCCAACAGCTGCCTGGCAGAGCCTCCTGTCCAAACCCATCCTCAGACCGCCCCTAGATGCTGCCACTCACATTCAGGACCTCCCTAGAGCATATCAACAGCATCAGTAACCCTCCTCACCTGTTCCAAGGTAGAAATCGCAGGGGGTTGAGGCCACCTGCTTGTCTGTGGCTAAAACTTCCAGCTCATCTTAGACACGTTACAGATGTGAGCCAGTTCTTCTCTTGGTTTTCAAGCAAAACAAATAGCTACTGCCCTTTCCAGCTTTTACATCCTCCAGCATTTTTTGCCTTGTATGTTAACAATGTAATAAATGTTGGGGAAAGCTGGCCCAAAGGAGCAATTCCAGATGCCTGGGGGAGCATCAGGTCGAGAACTAGACAAGTCATGCAGCTTGGGCCCAGTACTAAACAAAACCAGACCACAAACTTCCACATCTACTTCCCTCGGTAATCTACGCAAACTCCCAAACAAGCCCGAACTCTGGATCCAGGCTCCGCATCTGTGACTAAGCCTGCGCCTTATCTGTTTCATATGTTTCTTTCACTTTCCTTCCCGTTTCTGTGGTCTTTCCCATCTCTTAGGCATCACGCTGCAGCCCTGCCTGCAGCCTACAGAGCACCACTACCGTGTGTGTGGTACAACGTGCTTGAGGATTTGGACAGCCAGGGTGTTCCCAGGGTGCTGTGTGCCTGCTCAGAGTGCTGTGGGCACCGCAAGCGGGTCC